GGCAGCCATGCAGCACTGATGCTTAAACACACATTACAGCAGAACCTCCGAGTCCATTTATGTCATTGGACGGGGAATGGAATTAGAGAGTCGAAGACGCGATTATCAATTCATGCTGTAGGCTGATGATGTGCAGCCACCTTCTGAGTACATCCATATTTAAACATCTGTTCTTACCCTCTGTTTCTATATTAAAACCTTCACAAATAAAAACCTTACTTCGTGTTCATCCAGGGACTGAAAAGCTCAGGCTGCCGTTGTCTGACTCGGTGTTTCATAACCTGTTCTGAACATATTTTACCTCAGAATAATCCCACAATGCACCAACAAAAAAAATAACCTGTAAATTAATTTAATGATCTTCTAGTTTCAATTTACTAACAGTTCTTTCTGTCTGAAACCTGGTCCTGTTTAGTTGAACACATCGCAGTAAATTAAAGAGAGACACACTAAGATATTCTCCAATAGCCTTCTGCTGCCACCTAGTGGGGAGAGTTGGCTAATTGTTCTTCCTGTCACTGTTGCACAGACTGAGAAAAGGAAATAAATATTAGTTTTCAGTTTCATTAAGGCAAAGGTGATTTTTACACAGCATTTAGCCCCACCTGGTGGTTAATAATATGTTGTGACTTCTAAGAATGTAAAAAAAAATGTTTTTTTTCTTCTCATAGTGAGAGAGAATGTTCTGTTTGACGTTCTCAGAGTCACATTTTTTCCCTCTTTTCACACTTCCTGTTCACATCAGGGCTGAAGGTTGATGTGACAGGAAGTGATTGTTCTTGCCTGAAGCAACAAACTTGGCGACCGCAGAGACCCTGGATGTGATGCCTGCAAACACACACACACACACACACACACACACACACACAGACTTTCTTTTGCCCCTGGGCTGTAGATTCTAACTTGCCCCCAGCTGATACAGCTTAACCCCCCCCCCCACCTCCATGTCAGGGGTAAATGGAGAGTTTGCACCACCACTCTGCTGGACCAGCAGAGGTGTCACTGTCAGTCACACACACACACAGACACCTGTCAGAATATGTCCTGAGGTCAGACGTTGTTTTGACAGACGTCTCACCATCTTCTGTCTTTTTGTGCGTCGCAGACGTGGTACGAAGAGAGATCCACCGCAGAACATCTGAAGGCAGAACCGACGCGCAGCTCTGTTGAAGATGAGGCTCAGGTCCGGCAGCAAATCAGGACAAATCCTGTGTCATGGTGTAGATCCATGGTCCATGAACCTGACTGATCATGAGCGTGTTTGTCATTTACAGACCAAGATGAAACAAGAGTTCTCTGAAGACACGGCCAAGTTCCAGGCTCATCTGTTGTCCCTGTGTAGGAAGGGCAAGGCCAAAGGTCAGTCAGGCCAGATGGACAGAGGGCTGAGGTCAGGGGTCAAAACCATTTTGTCCTTCACCTCACAGTTCTTCATTTACCTCAGCTGGACCGGGATTGAAGCAGATTATAGTGATAATCTAGTTAATGATCGGGGGGTTCTGATTGACTGACTGTCTAACTGACTAACTGACTGTTTGTCTGTCTGACTGTCTGTTTGTCTGTCTTGTCTGTCTGTCTGTCTGTCTGACTGTCTGACTGTCTGTCTGTCTGTCTTGTCTGTCTGTCTGTCTGTCTGACTCTCTGTCTGACTGACTGTCTGACTGTCTGTCTGACAGACTGACTGACTGACTGTCTGACTGACTGTCTGTCTGACTGACTGTCTGTCTGTCTGTTTGTCTGTCTGTCTGTCTGACTGTCTGTCTGTCTTTCTTGTCTGTCTGTCTGTCTGACTGTCTGTCTGCCTGACTGTCTATCTGACTGTCTGTCTGTCTGACTGTCTGTCTGACTGACTGACTGTCTGTCTGACTGTCTGTCTGACTGACTGACTGTCTGTCTGCCTGTCTGTCTGTCTATCTGACTGTCTGTCTTGTCTTCAGAGGCCTTTGAGATCCTGAAACAGAGGAGCGGTGAGACTCTTAGCTCCAGCTGCTACGACCAGCTGATCTGTGGACTGTTGTCCAAAGGAAAGTATGAAGACGCCATGGAGGTGAAGGACATGTGAGTACTGGGGGAGAGGGGGTGTTTGGAGGGTGTTTGTGAATTTGGAGTAATCTGTACAGATTTGAGCAGCAGATGTGTGTAGAGCAGATTAGATTAAGATTAACAGATTGAGGAACCGTGTGAAATCAGGGTATTTTGGGGTATTTTTAGTTTGTTTTTTTGCCCTGTCACTGAACTAATCCAATGTTTCTCTCTCTCCCCCCCCCCCCTTAGTGCTTCATCCCACATACCTGACTTCAGTCTGACTAACGTATCCAACTCTCTGCTCATCGTCACCCTCAGCAAGAAAGACCTGGTCGAAGGTAGGAGTGTGTGTTTGTTTGTGTGTTTGTGTGTGTCATGTACACAGACTGACCCCCCCCTCCCCCTCCCTCTCCCCTCCTCCTCTCCAGATGCTCTTGACTTGCTGAGGTCCATGGTACAGATGGACATGGAGCCCTCGCAGCTGTCCATCAGTTCACTGGTTCAGGCCCAGGGTCGGCGTGGTGATCTGGCCGCCATCCAGGAAGTGGAGTCTCTGATGGGGAGCAGTGGCATCAACATGACGTTCGTCAACAACAAGGCCATGGCACACACCAAGAAGTAAGACTGGACTCTAACCCCCCCTCCCCCCTCCCCTCTCTCCCCCCTCAGTGTTCCAGGTCGACTTCAGTTGATAGTCCGGTGTGAAACATGGATTCCGTGAACTAGTTTTCTTGTGCGAAGTCCAGACTTGACCAGACCAGGATGTTCTGTGAACGTAGAGGCCTTCAGGCGAGCGCTGATTATTCCAGACTTCCTGTTAACGTCACACGTCTGCAGCCTCAGCACAGACCTGAGAGTGTGGAGCGCGATGTGCATCAAACTTTGATTGTTCTCTCGGCCGCATTAGTCACATTAAAAGTCCTGTCGCCCCCGTTGGAGCACAACTGGTCTTCTGCCCGCTCCGAAGGGCAGCAGGAAGTGAAGAATGCTGGGACGGTGTTACGCCTGAGTGGCTACCGCAGCGCGGGCCTGTCAGCTCCGACCTTGACCTGCAGGAGCCGCGCTCTGAGCCGCTCTGACACGTGGGTCCCGACTGTATCTGAGTCAAGCTGACTGTTTAAGAGCCGGGGCGGAAGAATGGGCCGGCCCCCGAAAGCACCGCAGCACACTTAGAGAGGCCCCCGCTGAATTATTCAGACGGCCCCAGTCAGCACAGATAGGCTCCCTGCCCCCACCCCCGGACACTCACACAGAGAGGGGGAGAGAGAGAGAGAGAGAGATGAAGAGTTAAATATTCATCAGTCTGCTGATGTAGTGTCGCTCCTTAAGTTGTTCACATTTGTTCAGCTTTGCTTTAGCAGCAGCCGCGTCAGCAGAACACAGCGTGTGTGTTTGTGCGTGTGTGTGTTAACAAACACACTGATGGAAAAGTGTGAGCTGGAGAAATCTGCTGAGGGCAGAACCACAGTACAGACCCAGAACCATCGGAGTGTTCTGTTGTTTCTCACACTCCTCTCATGTTGTGACCAAATAAAAGAGTGGCTCGTGGCCCCCAGACCGCCCGTCAGTTCTGGGCCGGTGACTCAGACTCTGACAGAACTCCAGTCTTCAGAAAATGTTTCCTGTCACGCACCAACTCTTGACCCAGACTCATTTGTTCACAGTGGTGACCTGGACTCAGCCGTAGACCTGCTGGAGTCGGTCTGTACCAGTCCAGACTCCAATCCCAGGTTGTACACTGCTTTCCAAAGGATCCTGGACGTTGGCGACGACAAGGCTTTAGACAAATGTGAGAAAACACACACACACACATTTCACAGACAACCATAAACATCACCCTGACCTCTGACCTGACCTCTGGTTCTGTGACAGTGAGTGTTCTGACGGAGCGACTGGCCAATCACTTTTCCTGCTACAGACCAATCACAGACCTGTTTGTCCTGCTGCTGGACCAGGGCCGAGTGGACGAGGCCACGTTCATGCTAAATGTGAGTATGAGTGTGTCTGTGGTGACACACACAGTCTTGTTCTACCCTTGTCCTAGGACAGTGAAGGCATCACTCGTCTTTAAACTGAGTTTGTTATTGTGTGTGTGTGTGTGTGTGTGTGTGTCTGCAGCGCTGCCCTGCCCTGGCTGAACAGAAGGACTGGATGTTTTCTAACATAACCTCGAAGGCCTTGAATCGTGGAAAGGTTTTCTCTTTCACTTGTTCTATCAATGGATTGATGCGACTTAGTCTGATTGACGTGACTTAGTTTGATTGACGTGACTAAGTTTGATTGATGCGACTTTAGTTGATGTGACTAAGTTTGATCCATGTGACTTAGTTTGACTGATGTGACTAAGTCTGATTGACGTGACTTTGCCTGATTGACGTGACTTAGTTTAATTGACGTGACTTACTCTGATTGACGTGACTTTGTCTGATTGACGTGACTTAGTCTGATTGACGTGACTTAGTCTGATTGACGCGACTTAGTTTGACTGACGTGACTTAGTCTGATTGATGCGATTTTAGTCTGATTGACGTGACTCAGTTTGATTGACGTGACTCAGTTTGATTGACGTGAGTTAAACTCAGTGTTTGTGTCTGCAGCCAACCACCATCCTGCACCTGTTGAACCTGATCCCTGACTTCACAGACGAGGAGAAGGAGAAGTTGTTTACCTACCTGATGAAATATCACGGTATGACACACACACACACGTGTACAAACTGTCATTGATGTATGGATATATTTGACATGATCCTGACTCTCCTCCTCCCTCCTCTCCCCCCTCCCCTCCCTGTGTCAGTTCTGGAGAAGGACCTGTCGTCGGCCAAGTCGGTGTTTGAACAGATGAAGGCGGAGAAGGTCACGGTGAATGAACTGACGCTCAAACGACTGGCTTCACTGTACACAGAGGCTGGAGAGACCCCGCCATTTACAGAGCCCCCCGTGAGACTGCACACACACACACCAACCACATGACATGTCAGGTGACCCTTGACCTCACCTTTGTTCCTTCTTTTGGTCTCCTGTTTTTCAGATGAGTTATAGGTTCTACGCAGATAAACTGAAGGACAAAAGTTCCAGCATAGTCGAGTTGACAACGGAGGAATAAGGACAACCTCCCCCGCCCCCTCCTCCCATCAGCCCCCACTCTTCACTGTCTCTATCGTGTCTTTTTTTTTTTTTTTGTATTAAAGTTAAAGTATAAAGTTGACCATGACCTGAAGTGGTTATTAAACCATGACGTCACAGATCGTGATGATGTCGACAGTGGACAGAAGAACTGGGACAAATCATTGTTCTGCTCATAATGCACTGATTTGTTGTAGTTTGTGAAAAGACGTTTTAAAATGTGAGTCATTAAAACCAGCAGATGGCAGCATTTGTTCTGACATTTTATTTTGGTTTTCTAGGTGTTTCCTGTACAAGCAACATCTGATGCAGATTCTCACTGGACAAACCTCAGATATCTAGATATTTTTTCATCAGCTTCTCATGTCTGATGACACCCCCCCCTCCCCGCCCCCCCGATCTGTTTGATGGTATTTTCTTCACTCCTATTTTTGTTGACATCTTTTAATGTCTGGTGAAAAGCGATTTGAAAAGCGGTGAGAAACAGCATTAGTGCAAAGACAACATTTTTCACTCTCTTGAATAATCTTCAAGTCAAAGCTCTCCTAAATCCTCTGCTCTTTCCACGGCTGTGTTAATCTCCACAACATCACATGGACAAAACAAAGAAGATTAAAATGAACGATAGAAATCTGACGGAGTGGCTCCAATCATGGATCAGGACAAGAAAAGAAGAGAGAGAGGAAAAAAAATCAACAGTTTAACTGGAGTCAGTGCAGATCACTGCTGCCACCCAGCGGCAGACAGGTGCACCAGCTGTCTTTATTATACTCAATAGTCTTTCACGGTCAGATTGTGTAAAGGAATGTCTTCAACCTGAAGCTGAAGGTGAAAAACCTTGGACCTCCTCAGACCCACAAACTCAGGTCTTGATTTCAGATGTCTTCATGTGGAGGACGGTGGTCAGGAAGTCTTCACCAGTCCTGACTGGACTTCTGTTTGATGAACCTGAGTGACAGGTAGTAGAGCAGCATGAAGCTGAGACAGACTGCCACCAGGACCAGGTAACACAGGTACAGAGGATACTGGTTCATGTTCAGGGCGCCCACCACCTCAAAGACGAAGAAAAAAAGAGAGGAGAGAGCGTTAGCTGGTCGTCGTCACTGTAAACCACTGGCAGTGCAACATCAGCGCCATCTTCTGAACTCACGTGAACACCGTCGATGTCGAAGGTGAAGTTTCCCAGGTTGACCTGGTACATGTTCCCTTTGAACTGCACCTGCAGCATCCCCTCAAAACCCCAGCGCATGAAGGAGGCGTGAGAGAGCCAGGTGGCCACTGGGGGAGAGAAAGCAGCACAGCATCAGACTCAGGAGAACAACAGGAAGTCGAGGAGGAAGTGGAGCCGCTCCATGTCCTCACCCAGCCACATGTTCTCCAGGCTGATGACGAATCCTCCGGTCAGATAGAAGACGGTGAAGAGAGAGTTCCCCATGAAGGCGGAGGTCTGCAGCGTGGGCAGGGCCGCCGCCACGAACAGAGCCATGGCCCTGCTGCAGTAGACCATCAGCCAGGCCAACAGGAAGTTGAGGAGGAACCGCTCCGGAGACTGGTTCAGACCAGCCAACCAGTAGATGGGCAGAGTGTAGACCAGAGTGAACACGCAGTGTTCTGGAAGTTCTCCAAGGACCTGAAGATCAGGGAGGCAGGATCTGATGAGGATTCTCTCGATAATATTATAAATCGTAACGTTTTAACGTCTACCGAGTTTTCAAGGCCTGGCTCCCGGACCAGCCGTGGTCCGTGGACCGCGCTTATGTCTTTTAGCTGTTTGTTTTTCAGAGGTTCTTAACCACAGGGCCGTGGACCAACCTCAGGTTGTATGTCTCTTGGTACCAGGCCGTGTACTGTAAGTGGTTTTTGTCTTTTTTTATCCATTATTGATATGTTTTATATGTGGAGACATCGCACAGTCAAAGTCTTAAAATGAGACGGAGGAGCAGCCTTCCATTTCAAAATAAAAGCTTTATCTTCTTTATCATCACAGCTGATTCTCCTGGAGACCATGTGCTGTTGACTGTTGTTTGACCTTGATGACCTTAACATCTGTCCTATCATTTGTCAGAGTTACCGACGCTGTGCTCCGTCACTGAGAAGCATGGAGTTTTACTGCCACCTGCTGGAGACCTGCTGGTGGTTTACCTTGGCAAAGAAGTAGGAGGTGATGGAGTACATGCCGTCCTCCAGCTCGTGGTAGAGCATGGCTCTCTCTGAGTGACCTGCAGAGAAGTTCATCTGTCAGAGCTAGAGGACAGATGATGTGACCTCTGACCTCTGACCATAGGTCAGACACCACCCCCTCCTCCACCTCCACCACCACATCCATTCACTCTGAGCTCCGTACATTTAGCGATGACATCCAGCACCACGGCGAATGGAGTGAGAGCTCCGATCATGTAGAGCAGAGCCACGGTGTCCTGGATGGACAGACGTTCGTCCCCCGCTCCGTAGTACAGGAACCCCACCAGCAGGGACATGAGCAGGGCCTCCAGACCGTGGACCAGTATGCTGACCAGGTCTCTGAAGTCGTTGTACATGTGACGCCTGCGTTGGAGGACAGAAGATTTTCATCAAGTGCTTTTTCCACTGTGTGCTCACTGTACACTAGGGGGAGCCATATGTTGGTTCTCCCACCTGATGAGGATGGAGAACTGTTGGAGTCGACCTGGTAACGTGCTTCTTTGAGGGACTGAGGTCCTGACTTCTTCTCCCGCTGACCGGCCGCTTCCTGCTGGACTACAGCAGAGGAAGGAGAGACAGAAACAGGAGCGTTAACCTCCTCCTGCTCCTCTCTCCACCCAGGAGGAGGAGGAGGGGAGAAAGTCATCATTGGAACCAACAACCTTCTGGTCACCTTCAGTTACCGTTCACTAATCATTTGCTTTTTTTTTAGCTTTATTATCTATAACTTGTCTTTTGACCGACCTATGTCTACTGCCCCCTACTGGTTTCCACATGTGATCTTCCGTGTCTCGGACCTTCTCCTTGAACTGTCCGGCTAGAGTTCTGGCCCGCTCCAGACATTCAGCCTCTCGTTCTGGGCTGCGTCGGTCTATGCTGATCAGATCAACTGGTAAACAATATCAGTAACATTGATATGATTAAAAACATGGACGATAATGAACAGGTGGTGTCACTGTTTCTTCTCCAGAGGTTCCTGGTTCTCCTTCACTGACCGTAGAAGTCCGACGGGTTGCAGTAGCGCGGACACGGGAATCCCAGCGCGGTGAAGTACGGCACCATGTCCTGAGCGGGGCCGCAGTAAACGGCTGAGCCTGAAGAGAGCAGCACCACCAGGTCGAAGAGCTGGAAGATGTCTGACCGAGGCTGGTGGACCGAGAGCAGGACCAGACGGTTTCCTCTGGCCAGACGGGACAGAGTGACCACCAAGTTGTGGGCAGTGAAGCTGTCCAGTCCTGACGTGGGCTCGTCCAGGATCAGAATACCTGCGGTGAGTTCCAGAAAAAAACACATCAACTTTTTATACATGTTACGGGGCGAGGAATCCTGGTGTTGTACATTCTGTTACTGTCACGGCTAACTTTTAGCTATTCCAACTGACAATACTAACTGGTGACTTTTGGCTAACCTTTAGACAAAGACATGTTTTATGCTAATGTAGCTGTAGTTCGATTTTACAGCATCTAGCCTCAGGCTAACTGTTACTGTCTTCTTATCCATGTTTGATGCTAATGTAGCTGTAGTTCGACTTTACAGCATCTAGCCTCAGGCTAACTGTTACCTATTGTTGACTTGCTAACTGTTGGTAAGTCTTTGGGTTAAGGTGTGATTCTCACCGGGATTCCAGAGAAGCTGGACAGCGATGCTGACTCTTCTCCTCTCTCCTCCTGAAACCCCCCTCACGTAGTCGTTCCCCACCCTGGTGTTCGCACACTGCCGCAGCCGCAGCTCTGCTATGACATCATCAACCTGAGACAGGAGGTGCAGAGTTAGTGGGGAGCGGTGAGGGACAGTCTGAGGGCTTGGACTGGTTGAGGACATTCACGGACCCTCTGATCCCTCTGGGCCTGCGTGAAGTGGGTCGGGAGCCTCAGTTTGGCCACGAAGGACAGAGTCTCCCTGACCGTGAGCTGAGGAAGAAGACGGTCGTCCTGACGGACGTGGGCCACGCTCTTCTTCACCAACTGAGGTGTGTTTGGTTTCCCATTAATCAGAATCTGACCCGAGGTCATGGTGCCGCCCTCGTCCCGACACGTGATAATGTCCAACAGAGACGTTTTTCCACAACCTGAGAGAAGACGGTCCCAGAGTCAGAGACCACCTGACGCTCGGACCGTCGCCATGACGTACAGCACGAAGAGCGCTTGTGTGTGTGTGTGTGTGTGTGTGTGTGAGACCTGAGCTGCCGATGACGGCCAACATCTGACCGCTGTGGACGCTCAGGCTCAGGTCGTCGATGGCCGTCTCCTTGTTCCCGTGGATCTCCCAGGGAAGTTTGAACTCCGACAACCTCTCGTACCAGGGGATCTGAGCTGCTGTGTCCACCTGAGGACAACACACACACGGTCAGAGACACAGTGAATCACTGTCAGTGTGTGTGTGTGTGTGTGTGTGTGTGTGTGTCAGTGTCACCTGGTAGTAGAGGTTGTTGACCTGCAGCTGGTTGCGTCCTCCGCTGTAGGTGAAGTACAGACTGCTGTCCTCCTCGGAGGAGAACAGCTGCGTGTCCTGGAGCTGCAGCACAGACTCAACATCAGTCAGTGTGAAAACACACACACACACACACCTCACGTCCTGTGACTTTGAACCTCATTGGACGACGGTGTTGATGTTGAGTTTGTGGCCCTGGGCCTAAAGTTCAAACTTCAAACTGAGCCTGACTCTGAACTCTGCTGAGAGTTCTCTGTCTCTGTGTCTCTGATCCTGGACATGAAGGCTGAGGTTTTTTTAAAAAAATGTTTTTTATTTTTTATCTCATAGATAAAGAATGAGGAAAATATTCAAACTTCAAACTCATGAATTCAGCCAGGAATTATTCAACCAGGGACTGTCCAATGACATCATCATTTCATGCATTACTGAGTTACACCACACGACTGTATTTGAATATTACACACATTATGTATATGTATATAATAAATATATATACATATATATTAAATATGTATATACACATACGTATATAAATATATTTAACTTTATATTTGAATATATATAAATATACAAATAATTATTTTTATATATAACAAATATATAATTATAAATAATTAAACATACACATATGTGTGTAATTATATATTTAGATTGCATTTTTTAAATATGTATTGATTGAACTTCTCTGTTTTCAGTAATCTATATTATTTTGCTAAAGTTTTAAATTCAAACCTAAATTCTTGATCCAGGTTTTAAACGCGGTCGAGTTAGGGTTGAGGTGAAAGGTCATTGTGATTCTGTCAAACGTCTGTGTTTCTGCAGCAGCCGTCGACGGTCAGTTAGGACAAGGTCCAATCAGAGAAAAGCTTTGATTCTCAGAGAAGGAAACGGAGACAAACCTGTGAAGATGCTGTCAGGTGACACATGTCTAGTTCAGTGTCCATGGTGACGTCAGTCCCCGGTGTTTGCAGGGTCAAAGGGTCAATGTCCCCCTAACCTCCCTCTGTGTATATGTGTGCGCGCGTCCTCCTCTCCTCAGTCCAGCTGAAGATCTTCTCTCGACTCGGCTCAAAGACTCCCCTGTCAGAAGTCCGCCCTCATGTCGGCTCAGCGTCTCCGCGGCGTCTCTGTCCTGTCAATCAAACCCGCTCTGGTCCGGAGTGAGCTGCAGCCTGAGAGTCTGTGTGTTTTTGTCTTCTTTATACAACGGCCGATCAAAGTTCTTACAGATAAGATGATGATCAGTGTGTGTTTACGGCCGCAGATCAACAGGCTGCACACACACACACACACACAGCTGCTCACACACACACACACACAGCTGCTCACACAACAGGACGGACAGAACATATGTGAGAAGAGAAGTGGTTTATTTTGGAGATTCTTCTGAGTGAAGAAGAAGTGATCTGAGAGGACGAACAGCGGACACTGACAGAAGAATGCAGGAAGCAGAGAGCAGCGGAGGAGCAGGAGGAGCAGGAGGAGCAGGAGGAGCAGGAGGAGCGGGAGGAGCAGGAGGAGCAGGAGGAGCGGGGGAAGGAGGATCTCACAGGGTCGTGTCTGAGTCCAAGACAGGTGTTTGGAGGGAGTCAGGAGGAGAACGATCAGAGCCGACCTGCTGCCTGAGTGTCAGGAAACTCTGCTACTCTGTCAGGTAACAGCTGGAGGACAGAGTCACTGCACTGGGACAGAGTCACTGCACCAGGACAGAGTCACTGCATCAGGACAGAGTCACTGCATCAGGACAGAGTCACTGCATCAGGACAGAGTCACTGCATCAGGACAGAGTCACTGCACTAGGACAGAGTCACTGAATTAGGACAGAGTCACTGCATTAGGACAGACGACCTGTGTCAGACTGAAGACCTAACAGAGGCCCTTGTGTGTGTGTGTGTGTGTGTGTCACAGTGAGCGTGTGGGTCCCTGGTGGGACCTCCCCTCCTACAGGAAGAGATGGACTCGTCAGATTCTTAACGACGTCTCCTTTCACGTGGAAAGTGGACAGATCATGGGCATTCTGGGAAATTCAGGTTCACGCTCACACGCGACTGAGACAACTGTATAAAAAAATGGCAATAATAACGAGGAGAAAAATGACAGAACTAATCAGACTTTTTGTCTGTTTGTCTGTTTGTTTGTTTGTCTGTTTGTTTGTTTGTTTGTCTAGTACAGGCTCAGGTAAGAGCACACTCTTAGACGCCGTCTCAGGGAGGATCGGACACCGAGGTCGTCTGCTGGGAGACGTCTTCATAAACGGCAGGAAAGTGAAGAGAGAAGAATATCAGGACTGTTTCTCTTATGTGCTGCAGGTAAACACACACACACACACACACACACACACACACACTGATTGTCTGCTTAGTTGCTTCAGCCGTCTGTGTTTGTGCGCTGACAGAGTGATAACTTGCTGAGTTACCTGACGGTGGAGGAGACGCTGACGTACACGGCTCAGCTGTCCCTGAGGAAACACTCCGCCGCCGCCATCAAGGTAACCGCCCCGGGTCACAGTCGGCCCAGGAGACTTCTCCCCTGACTCTCAGAGTCCACCGAGATTTGGACAGTTGTCACCTGCTTTGACCTTTGACCTTTGGCTGGTGGGCAGGTGTCTGCAGTGATGGCCGAGCTGAGTCTGAGTCACGTGGCCCACAGTGTCATCGGAGGTCGTGTTTTCCCAGGGATCTCCGGAGGAGAGAGGAGGAGGGTCTCCATCGCCAGTCAGCTACTGCAGGACCCACGTGAGTAACCGGGGGGGGAGGGGGGTGAGACGGTGACGGTCAGGTGATGAGGATCTTTAGGTCTGAACAGGAAGGAAATCAGAAAAAGGACCAAGCTCTCTGGGCAGCGCTCTTAGCATCTGTTAGCGAATGTTAGCGAATGTTAGCGGCTGTTAGCGGCTGTTAGCGGCTGTTAGTGGCTGTTAGCGAATGTTAGCGGCTGTTAGTGAACGTTAGCGGCTGTTAGTTGAATGTTAGCGGCTGTTAATTGAATGTTAGTGAATGTTAGCGGCTGTTAGTTGAATGTTAGCGGCTGTTAGCGGGTGTTAGCGGGTGTCATGGCGACAGTGATTCCATGTTTATATAAATGTGGTGCAGAAGTTGAACAGTGTTCTGTTCAGATTCACAGTTTTTGTTTTTTGAAGCAACAAACTCAGAGTGAGGAGAGAAGTTCAGACGTGTGTGTGTGTGTGTGTGTGTGTGTTATGTGTGTGTGTGTAATAAAATTACTTTGGGTGGAATTAAAAAAGATGTAGAGAATATTTAAAACTGGGTTATCACAGTGTGTGTGTGTGTGTGTGTGTGTGTGTGTATATTAATCCTGACTCTGTACTGAGACCCTTCATTGTCCTTAGGGGCAGCTGAGCTGATAAACCACACCTGGCATTAACACACACACACACACACACAGCATAATGAGCAGTTCCCACTCGGTGCCTCTCCAATCAACCAGGAAATGAATTAATCTCCTAATTAATGCAGCTGTTAATTCCACTCCACTTCCACATTGTGAAGAGCAAATCTTTTAATTGTCCTAATGAGAATAATTAACTTAAAAACAGAGCAGACTTTTATCTCTCCAAGTTCGCTCCAAAGTTTCAGCGACAGACAAAGTCACTGACCCAACTGAACAGAGTGATGTCACTGCTGTGATGTCATCGCAGGAGTCATCCTATTGGACGAACCCACCACTGGTCTAGACAGCATGACGGCCAATCAGATTGTGGTTCTCCTGGCACAGCTGGCCCAGAGGAACCGCATCGTCATCGTTACCATCCACCAACCACGGTCCGAGCTCTTCATGGTGAGTTCTCGAAAAACAACTTCACTTCTAAGATGTTTCCGGTTCATTCTGTGTGTGTGTGTGTGTGTGTGTGTGTCGAGGTGTTGCGCAGGATCGCCATCATGAGTCATGGCGAGCTGGTGTTCTGTGGTCAGCCTCAGGAGATGGTGGACTTCTTCAGTCAGTGTGGATACCAGTGTCCAGATTACTGCAACCCCTTCGACGTCTACGGTCAGCACCGCCGCCGCTGTCGCCGCCACCGCCATCGCCGCTGCTCCTGTGTTGTCCAATCACGCTGTGCCGCTAACGTTGACTCCGACTCTCCTCCTGACAGTGGACTACACCTCAGTGGACACGCGCAGCAGTGAGAGAGAAGCAGCCACCTTCACTCGCATGCACGACATCACTTCCCGCTATCGGGACTCTGCCATCTACCAGAGCATGCTGGGAAAAATTGAGCAGAGTCTACAGTGGGAGGACAAACCGGTCATTCCCTTCAAGAGCAAAGAGTCTCCCAACGGTGCGGCCAAACTGGAGGTTCTGCTCAGGTCAGGGGGCCGCCGGTCACCGATGACGGACAGGAAGTGAGTGTTCTCTGACTCTGTGTGTGTGTGTGTGTTGACACACAGGCGAACTGTGAGGAACCTGTCCCGGGACAGGATGGGCGTTCTGATGCGTCTGTCCCAGAACTTGATCTACGGCCTCTTTGTGGCCTTCTTTGTCATGCGTCTGGACGATGATGTCACCAAGGGGGCGGTGCAGGACCGCATCGGCATCGTCTACCAGTGCATCGGCGCTTCGCCCTACACCGGAATGTTAAACGCCGTTGCTCTCTGTGAGTCCGACGTCCTTGGTTTGTTCTTTGTCATGTCTGAGCTTCAGCCAATCAGGGGACACCAAAGTCCTGGTCTCCAAAAAACAGATATAATCTGACAGAATTCTTTTCTGATTTGCTTTGATTTAATCCAGTGATGCACCGAAATGAAAATCCTTGGCTGAAAACGAAAACGGAAAATGAGAAAACCAAGGCCGAAAACCAAAAGAAATGATTATGCAGATGCCCCCCCCCCACTTCCTAAATTACACATTTTGCATTTTTTTTTTTGGTGGCCAAAAATTTGGTGCATCACTAATTTAATCCTAATCCTGATTTAATCTATATGTCGTTCTGAATCCAGATCTAATCTAGTCACGACACGTCCATGTTGTAATCCTGTTCATGATCATCTCGACATAGTCCACATATGAGATACTGTATGTACGGATCTGGATTAAACCCTGACATAATCCTAATCCCCTGTACTGTCTGAGTCAGAGTTCAGTCAACTCCAGTACCTTCTCACCCACAGACCCACAGGACAGCAGTAATACTATATCTATACTGCTGTGTTATCTGTCTGGGTGTGTGTGTGTGTGTGTGTGTGTGTGTGTGTGTGTGTGTGTGTGATGCCTACAGGACACCACACCCTGAGACACCCTCACACTCTT